ACACTACTGCCGTAGGGAGACTTACGGTTTCTTATCGCATGATTTATGACACATGGCGCATGACTCATGATCACATGACATGTTCACACTTCTTAGCTTGCTACCCTATTGCCTTAGGGTGGCTTACATGACTCGGGCACATTTCGGGCTCCCCTGCACGCCCACGAGGACGAGTGAATGGAGCAGTCCGCGCGTTTGCCATGATAAACGATTACCCGGCTCGAGCTCCTGCAAAACATCTAGCATTGTCTCATCCTTCCGAATTTCCCAAGTGCCTCGATCGTCATCCTGTATGCCGCCCGCCTCTGCCCTTTTTTCTCACTTTATCTTATGTCGGCCGCTTTCTGGGAGACGTTTTTTCCTGAGCCGGAACTTCTTAGCGGGCTACACTATTATCTTAGGGTGGTTTACAGTTACCGATCACATGACTCGGGCACATTTGGGTTCCCTACACGTCCACACGGATGAGTGAGGGAAGCAGTCCGCGCGTTAATCATGATTAACGGTTACCCGGCTCGAGTTACTGCGGGACATCACGAATTGACTCATCCTTCCAAATTTACCAAGTTCCTCGATCGTCATCCCGTATGCCGTATGCCGTCCGCCTCTGCCCTTCTTTCTCACTTTATCTTTTGTCGGCCGCTTTCTGGGAGACGTTGTTTTCCTGAGCCGTAACGGACTTAACCCGATAGTCACCAACCTTGCCTACTCCTCCCCGTCCACGCGGACGAGTGAGGAGTGCAGTTAAGTCTTCTGCAGAACAATCCGACCGAATCTCCTGACCTAGGACGTTTCTTGGTGCGGCATCGCACATTGTCTCATTCTTCCTAATTTCCCAAGTGCCTCGATTGTCTTCCCGTTTGCCGTCCGCCTCTGCCCTTTTTACCCACTTTATCTTGTACCGGCCGTTTTTCTCGGAGCCGTTGTTTTCCTGAGCCGGAACGGACATGATCCCTACAGTCAACAAACTTGCCTATTCCTCACCGTCCACGCGGACGAGTGAGGAG